AACAGATCAAGAAAGCTAAATGAAAAAGACCCAGAAGTAATGGGAAGTTACACATTTTGAAGGCTAATAAAACTAAGTTTCACAATGAAGCACTACAGGAACAGCCACATACAGAGAGCCCTAATGGAATAACACAATCCCCCCTCTTCCCAAAAAAAAAAAAAAAGGCAGCATGCCCATGAGTAAAAGAGATGAGGTGAGGACTGGCCAGATAATGACGACCTGTAATGCATTTTCTGGCGACACTGGCTTAATAGTAATCGGCATACAGAAATGGCCAGAATGGACAAAGTGGATGGAAAAGATCTAAAGGTAGATACATAAAGAGGAAAGAGGAGTGTTGGTATAGGGAACATAGATGGAGAGAGCATGTATGTGTCAGAGAGGAGATGAGTTAACAAGCACTGTTAAAAGCAAACGAGGGAAGAAGACAATGAGCAAAGGAAAAAGTGAGACGGAGCAGACAGGTGCTGTCCTACCATGTCAATGAGACTCTCCTGGATCCGGTTCAGAGTGGTTCTCAGTCGACTGCTGATAAGGCCCAAACCCGATGACTCATACTGTGGAAGGCACACACAATAAACACAAACAATGAGTGTCGGCACGGCACACTGACATATTACTATACACCACAGTGGTTGCTCTCTCATGTCAACATAGACAAGAGGATTGCTGCAGTCAGCCTCAAGCTGACTCTAATCCCTAAAGATGGAGGAGCAACTGAGAAGAACAGACATCAAAACCAAACAATCGAAGAGCTGACAGGCTAGAAAATAAAAGATGGCAGAGAGAGGGCAAAAGCACAGCAAACTCAACAGCATAATTCTGCTCAACTGCTGTTCAGAAGTGCTTGGATCGGGAAAAAGCAAACCAAACAAATCCAAAGAAGCCTAAATAAACCAAGCAACACATGTTGGCTAATATTTCTGGTTAACAAGCTACTGCGGCCCATGTGTTAGCCATCACATGTCAGGATGCAATGCTTACCAAGCAGGCAGGGCCCACCACCCTGGCTGGCACTGCCTCTCTGCCACTATAGGTGGGCAGAGATGGGCTTGGGATGGGCTATAGATGGTCGAACAGGCAGCAGAAAGGAAAAATGAGAGGCAAAAGCACACAAACTTTAAAAACAACACAGTGGAAAAATTGCAACAAGACTTGAAAGAAAGAAAAAAATAATAAAGAGATTAATGGAGGTAATGAGAGAAATAAATTGCACAATGTTACCGTCTCACATTTAAACAGCCTTTTAATTTGGGAGCAACAAAACACAGCTAAAACTAATTGGAAAACGCTAATGATCGATAAGTCCATACAATTGCTTACCAAATCAAGACTGTTGTGAAAGTTCGACTAAATGTTGCTCAATAATTAGGTTTGAACAGAATATACTAAACAGAAGCTGTATCTAGTATGTATAATTGCATTTAAAACACCCAAAAAACTGTTTACACAGTAGGCAAATGCAACCAAAATCCAATCTTTTGCCTTTATGTGAATCATATCCTTTTTGAGGGTAGTCTGAAATGCCTAATTCTGATCTTTCACCGAAAAATATATGAATAAAAATAAAATTTGAGTCACTTTAACCAATCATGTACATATCTGATAGTCTAAACAGTAATGACACATTTAACACCACATCATCAAACATACAGAGTCGGCTAAAGTCTGTTGCTAATAGTTGCAAACATTTTCAAACCATTCTTAATTTATTTATTCTCTTTTGTTATGAATATCATGAGAGTGCTCAGGTTGTGGGCAGCAGCTGCAGCATCACAAGTCATGACCTGTTCCCCCACGCATCACCATAGCTGTCGCTATAGGTCTATATGTTCAGGTTATATGATAGTCTTTGGCCTTGACAGACCGGGCACAACAGGTGAAACGCTGCACTAACTCACTAAAGTCAGCAATACAGTAATACTTCAAAAAATGAAAGAATATAGATGGCAGCAGCTTGGAAGCAGAAGGCTGCCCCAACTACATTCAGACAGTGGCAGCAAGAAGAGGTATTACAGTTAATATCATGAAGCTAAATGTAAAGGTTGTCTTGAATTGAGCAAGCTACCTTTACCATCAGGTATTAGAGAAACAAAGACCTTTATGGTACCGAGGCAGACAGCTTGGTGATTGTGCTGGACACAACTTCGCTTTTCTACATGTGTATTTCATTATATTTAAGTGAAAGTATCCCTCCCTGTGTAGCTGTAGACACCCTTTTTAAACACATATTGAAACTTGTAATTTCTGTTGCTTCTTTGTGAATAATTTGATTTGAATCTTAAATATTTAACTGCACTGAAAAAGGAGTGAAGCCTGCAAAGGAGAGACATTTTGGCATGGCATCTAATCTATACACCAGAGGTCTTCAACGTTTTCCAGGCCAAGGACCGCCAAACTGATGGTGAGATGGAGCGGGGACCCCTTAATTATATATACTGTATGAAATTGTGTTATATCAAACTAGTCCTATAGTCACTCTATTACAGATGGAGTAATGTAACGAAAGTAATTTCTTCCTGGGATTATTAAAGTATTTCTGATTCTGATTCCTGGTTGATGGGACAGGTGTTGTGAATGAAACGGTGCCCAGCTTGAAAGAGCTCCTGTATGTCTCTGAATGTGTGCATTAATGACTGAAAGACATCTTCAGCCTCCATTGATCTGTTTTCCACAATGTGTTGAATTCATGTTAATGTGGATTTAAAGAAATTTCAATTAGTGCAAAAAATTGCAGGGGGGATTATAAAAAAAAAAAGTCTAATCAGCCAAAACTTTTGCGACCCCCATGCAGTACCTTTGCGGACCCCCCGTTGAAGACCTCTGCTATACACAATTTCATTAACATATTAACTATGACAAAGAAAGTGAGCAAAAGTTTATTTTTAAAGCACCTTTCACAGTGATATTTTTTGCTTAAGGTCATCATACTCTCAGAATTACATACTAGCCCATGCCTAAAAGCCACCAATTTAAAGCATGCTTGAAGTATCTGTAGTTATTTTGTGTTGGAACAATAATCTGAGGCAGATGTGAGTAATGGCTGATTAATGGAAGCTTTCCCTTGCTGTCTGGACCACAGTTTCTTCCTCATGGCTTGATTTATACCAACTCAACCACATCAACAAAAAAGTAATTGGGGAAATTCTTGCCAATTAATTTCAAGCATAATCCCAATTTTAAAATGCTATTTACAGAAGAAGCTGATGTTTGGGTCATTTACATTTTAATAGAATAGGGACTAGCTTTGTCACCACTGCCCTTTAGGTGGTAGTAAAAGGCTTAAGGTTTGCCACCACACAGAAGAAAAGACAGAAAGAAAAGCTAGAAGTAATCACTTCCTTTTAAAAACAAGAAAGCAGTTCAAGATCATGAAAAAAATGAATCTGAAATTCACAGAGAAAAGATCTATCTGTCATCAAGTTATACTTCTGGTTTAAGAAAATAATTTTGTACAAGATCAAACAAGCAAAATTCATCGTGCAATTGCAGTGAACCAGTGACACTCAAATGGTCCTCAGGAAAAAAAAAAAATCTTTATTGTTGTTGGGAAAAACAACCCCTAGAAGACACCATTATAAAATATATAACACCTTTAAGGGTCTTAAGGAAAGTTAAAGAGGAAAAACTCTTGATAGAATTATTATAAGCACTCGTAGAAGATATTAAACATCCTGAAGTATGGAGAATATGCATGTCCATGCAGAGCAGTCTATAAAATGGGCTGGTTGGTTATTTAACTGTTGCTAAGGTCTTGAAAGAATATGAAAGACGCCAATGTTTTACATTTTAGACTCCGGACTTTTTTAAAGCTGTGCATATTAGATAACTTTCACTACAAGCGTCAATCTGTGAGCCAAGATTTAAGACAAATTAAAAAATCTTTATGCATTATTGCTCATTTTCCAGATAAAAAGATAATTTCTCTTGTAGTATTTAACAATTTCCTGATCTATTCCTTCTTTTTATGCTGAGGTTCCTGCTTCAGTGTTTTGGTAGGAAACTGTTGGCATCCCCTATTTCTCTTCCCGTATTTCTTATTTTCTTATTTTTTTCCTCTCTTTTATAACCCTCTGCCGTCTTATTCCAGAGCAGACGTTTTAAAGTTATCCCCATGGGGTGCAACTTTCCAGAACGTTTTAAACATTAATCACTTTTTCCAAAAATGTGTTTGCAAATCTGCCTTTCTCAGCCCCCACGGCTGACTAACTCATTACTGTTCGCAGTGATGGAGAATCAGCAAGCGGAACACATCATGCATCTTTAGTGTATGTGTCACAGCGTCAAAGTGCGACTGTTTAAACAGATAATGGGCATATTTATTCTTTTACATAAGAATGCCTGACCATTAGTGTCTGAGAGGAAGAAGTCAAGCAGCTCAATCTTGATTCCAGAGGTGTAAAAGAGAGCAAAGTGTGGGTCGTGGCAGCAGCATATGTGCAGGGGAAATTTCCAGGAGCTCTTTAAAGATTCATAGGGACATTAACATTTTACTGTGTTTCTTTCAGGGATGCCTATTAATGAAAATAGACAGGTTCACAATATGACCCTTTTCAAGACACTGAATTAAAATGTTACTCCTCAAAGTAATGTGAAAAGGATGCGATTTTAAGCTTTGCTAATGGTGAATGCCACAAAACGATCTGGTAACACTTTGGGGTACAATAACATTTAATTTTGTTACATGAAGTCTGTCAGAGGAAATGCTATTAACTTGTTAACAGTGGTCATGTCTGGTGAAGAAAGTGTGAATATTTTTAGAAGGTACGTGCAAAAATCATTAAGTATCTATAAGACTCTTACTGTACTTGTGAGTTAGCAAAATTGCTTTTAAGTTGCCATTTTTGTACTACCAAAGTTGACTAATTAATAAAACCTTATTTAACCAAAAGCATCTAGAGGATTCCAACCCATTGAGATAGGGCTCCAAACCAGGATTTTCTTTTGCGAATGTAAGGTTACAGGAATCGATCTCCATTCTGTTCTTTTTAGCTTCTTCGCTGCTTGAACCCACTCTTACATTTTCACTCTTTTTTTTTTTTCTTTAAGCTGCCAAGGACACTAGGTTAGCATCTGCTTGTAAGCACAAAACCAGCTTAAATTGGAGGCAACTGGACTTTCCCTCTATTTTCCTGAAAAAATGTTGACACCTATCCAGGAGTCTTTATCAAATCTGCCAGCTCACCCTGATGTTTCGAAGCATCTGGAGGCCGATCCTCTTAAGCACATTAAAAGTTAGATTTTATGAAACTTTGTTCTCATTGCAAGATGTACAATGTTTCTAGGCATTTTGATAACCCTATAATTAGTAAACCATAAAAACACAATAAAATTACTATTCAACTAGGACTGAGAAAGCTGCACACATTTTTTTTTTTACCTATCAAGTTAAAAAGCAGTTTGTGATTTACAAAATAGAAAATGTGTATGTGCTTATTTTGTTTCATTAAGGCGGCTAAAATCTTCTTTATTTTTTGTGAACCCAATATGATGTACTGTCTCATTGTATGAGAATGAGTAAATGCAGATGTACATGTGTTAGGTGGAGCCAGAGTGGTTGGACGCATGAAAAAAGGAAGACAATGACAAGTCAATCTTAAAACATTTCCTATTATTCTCTTAGCTGTTTTTTACACGCACACATCAACATGCCAACAATCTGAGGCCCCCCGGGGCGCGTGCTTCATCTATATCTTTCCAATTTGGATGGGACAGAAGTCATTTCATTGTTATCATTACAATGTTCCGGAGGGCAGTAAATTCAAAAGTTCTGCTTTTTTTCCCTATTTTTCACGAGGCACAGTAAAGCTGTCGTGGCTTTCAATATCAATGAGAAGCTGGACTCACTAGTGTTTAACTGCTCAACCGGAATGGTTATTGATGCAGGCATTAATTAGGAAATATAGGAGCAGTTTGTTAATCAGGGCTTTAGTGGAGGTTATCTAATAAACAGGAAGGAGCTCATCTCTAGAGGTAATATAGGCAATTAGAGAGAATATCTGAGAAAAAAGACAAAAGCACAACATTAAAACAGAAAGAGAAAACCTTGGGGATGTACGGGGAAAATGAAATACAATCTTGATATATTTATCTTTTTTGTCTCTCTGTCCCTCTCAATCTATCTATCTTGCTCTCTTTATTTATGAAAACAGATTAAGTCTATTCATACATCACAAAAAAGGCAGTTTTTTCTGTTCTTCTTTTTATTCATGAGGGATTCACAATGAATCCTAAACCTAGTAGGATTTAGAGCTTAACATTATGGCAATACTTATATCACAATACGTTTCTTATTTTCCTCCAATACCATACATTTTCATTATCAATCTATATAAAAACCTGAAAAAAGCCAAGTAAGTATGCAACAGAAACCTGTATAAAATTAGAAAATTATTATTTCTTTCCCTATTTTAAATGTAGATTAATCCTAAATTACTGTTTAAAAAACTACATCACATTTCTTATCTTTTTTTTTTACATTGTCTCTCCAAGCTGAACAGATGACATGCCCATTTAACCAGCTAGTTATCTCTCTATTAAATTTCTCCTTCCATCGGTTCTTGCCTCTTTCACAGTTTGCCTGATTTAATTGACTAAAGGTCCTTGATCCATTCTAAGACATCTAACTTTGGATGAACCCTTGCCGATGCTTTAGGTGAAACAGTACCTCTTTTTTTTATCATCCTAGTACGATTTTTCATGCAGCTTCCCCCCCTGCTTAAGTCTTGACCTTTGTAGTTTTGTTTGCAAATAGAAGGTTTGTTTGTTTTGGACTTCTTATCCTTAGTTCACAAACACAGGCTCCCATGGGCTATTTTGTATTACCTGTGCACAATGAACGTTTACAAACTGCTTCCTAGATTGAACCAAACATTTATTGCAGCAAGGACCATCTGAGTCAAAACTATGTCTATCGATTCACACATCCCATAATACCACTGAATGGTTTCCTGTCAGTGGGGACAAATTAGAGCTCTGCTCTGTTTTGTCCTCTCTTATATAATGTGTGCACGCTTCTCTCAGCTCTTTTACTCTGACTGTAATGCTACGTTCAGACCGCAAGCAGCAAAAACGCACATGCTGCTTTATTTTTGATGCTTCTACAAGTGAAGTTCTGACGCACGGCTGAAGCATCTTTGCTGCTCTAGCTGCACGGTCAAATAAATGGGGCTGATGCGCTTTGGGAGGAGCTACAGTACCCTATCCTTTCTTTGCCTGTAACAATGGCAGCTATATTTGCTGTGATCAGGTGGTAAAAAGTAGTTTTAATATGTTTTTAAGTGAGAAACTCCATCTTAAAACTTCATCTGTGCAGTCAGTTCATCAACTTGCATGTAAACTGGCTGCTTCTGCTGACTCTGCTGCTTGCAGTCTAAATGTAGCATAATGCTATGTTCACACCGCACGCGATTTCAGCAGCAAAAAAGCGCCTGCTGCTTCATATTTGAGGCTTGTCCACATCAGCGTCTAGATGCGTCTGATGCTGCTGCTGCTCCTGTGTCCATTGGCGGAGAGCGGCTTTGCTATATTTGCTATGATAAGCTGGTAAAAAGTAGTTTTAATTATTTTTAAGTACAGTTCATCAGATTATGATCCTGCTTTAAAATATTATTTTGCTGTCAGATCGCCACATACCGGCGGTGCGCGGTCATTGGGAATCCTTAAGAAATGGAAAAACTTAAACTTAATGAGCAATATCACCTTACCATGTCGTTACGTCCAAAGAAGGTGTATACAGCATAAAGGTAGTAGTCAAAGAGCTGTGATACACAGTGGATGACATCGAAGGCAATCGGCTTTAGAATATTCATCATCTGCATGTATTTTCCTGAATTCAGAGAAGAGAAAGAAAAAAAGAGTTATTTCCCACACTTTGGTAATCTGAATGCATTGTGTTGCACCAACTGTATCCCTGATTGTGTGGCCTAAACATTTCCAAAGCCAGCATTTGGTTACAAGTGACAGAACTTGAAATAAATGTTTTTGGACGTTAAAATGGTTAAAATGCAGCAAGTTAATCATGGGGAAGCCATGTCCTTTATGGAGGAACTTAAAACAGCAGTATCCTGCATTTCCACACAAATTGCAAGGACTTAATTTAGCAGAAAGGTAATAAAGGCTATAAATACAGAGGTATGGGGGAGTAATCAGATTACCTACTGAGTAAAAACTGATGAAGGGAAGAGAGGAGAAGAAATATATTCAATCTAGCTCACTTTGCCTCTGAGACAGAACTATTCCTGAAACTCATTTATTACAGGACTTGTCTTGAATTCCATACTGAGAGCTCTGTGTTCAATCTGATTCCATCATACACCTGCAGAGAGTATATTGGAAATGACTTCAAGTTTTTCTAATCTGCTAAAAAGTCTGCATTACTAACCTGGTGAAACAAAATGGCAAACAGATTATTGGCTCAATGCACAAGAAAAATTAGTTAATCTAGATTTACTGAGTAAAACTAAACTCTGTTACTTAAATAGAATAATCTGCAATAATAAACCCTAAAAAAATCTCTTTACAAGGTCCACGTCCACCAAGATCACATTTTGTCAATGAGGTGACCCGGTTGTCCTAAAAGACTCATGAGAACAGCACATTATAAAGGTCAGAGCTCAGGGTGAAAGGTGACCGTTATCTGTAATGATCTGCTTCATTGATGAATACATTGAAATCTCAGCAGGTGGGAGGGAACTTGCATTTGAGTGTGAGCAGCAAGGTTACTCTTAAGAAGGGTTCTTGTGCGAGCATGCAACACCTACCGACAAGCCGGATGACGTTGAGGGTGGTGTTGGTGAGAATTGGCGCGCTAGCCTTGCTGAGGTTGTAATCTGACTTTTTCTTGCTTCTTATGGTCTCACGGGACACGCTGATGCATGCAGGAGTGGGTAAGAGAGAAAAAAGGGGGGAAACCATGAGAAAGTAATTGTTACACAGTAATATGTCACTAATCTTTGGAAACGATTGACTGGTGTGGGTCACAGTCCTATAATTGATCTATCAGAACCCATTACACATTGCAGGAGACAGAGCTGGAGGCTGCTGATGGGAAAGGCTTTGAACTGATGATTCTGGAGCACTACATCCCTGACACTAAGCTCAATGAGCCAAATTAGTGAGGAGTCATTACCTTGGCAGCTGTCATTACAGGAAATGTCCAATACCTCAATGTGATCGTGCAACCCATTAAATAATTAACCCTTAGTAAGCATCACTTCATTAATAAAGAAATTACATGTTCATAACCGTACCTCAAAATGTAAAAATAGGAATGGAAACTGAGGTACGTGTACCATCTTAACAAAAGCACCGAACATGGTGTAGGTGCTAACATCATATTACAATAAAAACAAAAGACAATGAAAACTGAACAAATCTAATATAAAATCTGAACACAGCACTCAGAATTATACAATATTATATATCATATCAATATCAGCTCCAAAATCTGAAAATTAAACATGGGAAATGAAAAAAATGTAGACAATGCATTTAAAATTTGTTTACATTTTTTGTGAAAAAAATGAGAAGTTATTCGAAGGACATTTAACAATGAGATCCATATAAATACAAAAATATCTGGCTGTGGCCCCTTTATGTTGACTGTTGTTTAGGTTGGATTAGGTTGGTTAGGATCTCCTAAAGCTGGGCCCACACTACGATTTTTTGCCGTTTTTTGGGCAGACTCTTGAGTTGTGCGAGAATTTTCCAACCGGTCAGACTTTCAGTCTGATCGTCCGTCGTATAGTGTACAGGGGATAAGGAGGGGCAATCAGCCTCTCACGACCACCTCCCGATCAGGAATCATGACGTTGAGAGAAATTCAAACATGTTTGATTTTCAGTCGACCGTCGTGGGCAAAAAGCTCAGTGGGCATGCGCCAACAAGGACTTTTCTTCTTCGTCCTCTAAGATGAAAACACAGAAGCATGGCGGGGATGCAATGAGTGAAATGGAGTTCTTTCTGTAAAATTGACAGACCGTAGTAGAAACGTTTGCTCAGCCATTTCTTTGTCCAAATACGTCGTCGCCTTTTCTTTTTAGGGCTTTCAGCACAAAATTGCACAAATTGCCAAGGCAGCGAGTTTCACACAAGTGAGCTTCATATTCCTCTTCTACTCATTTGGCTTCCGGATAGACGAGTCCGAGTAGCGTCATCTGACTGTGGAGCTGAGTCCAACGTGGTATTTAGATGTACAGTGTGAGGAGGTAGATCGCATCAGAGCTTTTTGCTGCACAGAACATACATAGTTAGCTTTGAACTCACACTGTGAAACCCTGCAGTTTTGTCGTACAGTGTGAGCTGTAGCTGCTTGCAAGGATTGAAAAAAAAATCGCTAAGTATGCCTGGCTTAACCCATGCAATGTCCCTGGATTGGAAAATTTCAATTTTAATTGGGAAGTCGATTGTGAGTGTACAGTGCATTTATTATTACATAGCATAGGTTTTTCTCGACTGATAGTTCGGCTCTTCAATCATAACGCCACTGCATCCAACTGCAGTTATTTCCTCATCAGGTTGCAGAATATTCCAGTTTTTGGATTCTCCATCATCTGCAGCCCGCTTGTGGGGAATAACATTTTTATTGATTTATTATTTACTTCTGTAAAGTTCACAATTTTCTATACACATACCATGGGCAGCGCATTACTCTACAAAATACTAACACTCTGTGGTGTTTTACATATATGATCTGATCACTATTTCCTAAGTACTGTTATCATAGGGTTTGGTTTCTAAACTTTATAGTTGCAGCTTGGACTTTTAACTTTTTCCTTTTATAGCTTAAAAAAATATATATTTTTGTCTTCCGACTCCAACCCAGAAGAATTCTTTAACTGGCTCAATCTTACAACAACTTGTTTATCTGCACAATTTGAGGTGGTGGGCACACTTTGCCCTGACAGAGAGTCTTGTGTGTTGTCTCTGCCATGGCCTTTGGATTAAAGCATACTCATTGAGAACAGAGAAAAATGCCTTCTTTTAACAGCAAAAAAGATTACTACCTTCTGTTCTTGTAATCAGCTTGAACGTATTTGCATACTTTTATTTATACATTATCTAAGGAGAAAGTTTTCTCTTGAATGGTATCCAACAACTATTACATACGATGCAGCAATCAGGAGTTCTGTTGTCATATTTTTGAGACATATCTAGTCATGACCAGATAGCAGAGTGTGTATTGCCTGGTGCAAAGAAGGCCAAAGCTTGTATTATTTGGACAGGTTAGAGGTAAATTCAAATTCATCCCATTCTGAAAACAGAAATAAAATGCAAAAACCTCTCTAGACCTGCAATCGATCAATAATACCTTTGAACTTGAATAGGGGCCAATATTAGCAAGAAAAAGGCCAAAACATTCACCCACATTAAAGGCTGACTCATGCTTTAATGAAACAGAGCTGTCACCTACAAGATGGGGAAAAAAAAGAAAAATAAGCTTTTGAAAGCTTTTTGGCTGTACATGTAAAGTAGGGTTATGTAAAAGTGAACTAAACTGACTGTTGCTAAAGAAATAGAAAGGGGCAATAATTTCACACTTTTAGAAACACCTTCTGAGAACGATTTAGATGGATCAATATTAGCTTTTTTTAGTTCGCTCCGCTGTAAACACACATAAAAAGACCTGACCTGTGTGTCAGTTTGATCTGCAGTACTCGTCAGTTTGATGTGTTATAATAAGGCCGCTTGGATCTTACCTCTTCAGGGGAACATCGCCTGTCTGCTCGTCAACAAAGTCTTGCTTGAGCTCATCTGGGACATCGCTGTCACTGTCGTAGTCCTGATAGACGCTCTTCTCCAGTTCATCCGATTCGTACTGAAGAAAATAAGGGGATAGAGATCAAAGAGGGTAAAAATCAGATACATGCACTGAGAAAATGTCAAGTAAGAGTACAGAGTAGTCACCTCCTTGGGTTTACGCAGAATGGGTACTATTCAGACATGACTTGGATAAAGATTTTAAATGCACACATTTTTTTTTTTTTATTAAACCTTTTGTTTTCGAATCTTAGTGAATTACATATGTTATAAAGATACAAAATGGAAAGCTACTTGATTTAGGTGCAGAATCAGAAAAGCAAGCACCACCTTGAAAAAGGTGGACTTCATGTTTCATACTATTGTGCTTTCTGTTTCTCTCAACTCTGACAAAAACAAGTCCTACTGAGCGTTTCTGATAACTGGCTATGAGCATGTGATGAAGTTCAGCTATATTGAATATATTTTAAAGTATAGATTAAATGTTAAAGGTCACATCAAAGCATATTTAGTCCAGACTTAGGATGATGAAGATTCAAAACAGTTTAAATGTTTTTGTAGAAGATATCTAAAGGACAGGAATTCTCCACTTACCTACAAAATGGACTAAATATTATGAAGTATCTAAAATATTATGAAGTATCTATCTTCAGGGAACATCAAGCAGTTTGACTGGAGCTGCAGCTGAGCTCCGATTGTTGTTCTACTGACATCTTTTTACCCTACTTGATTCTGGTCGAGGAAGTTTTTTTTAAAAACCTCCTTGACCAGTTCTTTGAAGACTTAGAGAAACTTCATTTTCATTTTGTATACACAGTGTTTACAACCCAAAATTACACTGCTTACAGCTTAAAAAAGTGAAAAAAGCAGCTTACAACAGCAAAATGAACATTACCATTACAAAGTCCCACAGTGATCAGAATGTAAACAGTGTAGAAGAAAGGAAAACCAGTAATGGTGCAAAAGGGCATTAATATGGAAAGGTTCAGTGCAACGCAAAATAAATATGGTGCAAAATGCAGTGGAACATTGAATTGTTTCCTATTTAAAAGGATTATTAAAGTTTTTAGCCACGTTGGTGGTTCAAAATAATGTTGCAAGCGGGATGTAGAGTCTAGTTTATAGGTCAACAGTCTTATGACAGCTGGGAAAAAGCTGTTGCAGAACCTGCTGGCCCTGCAGTGGATGCTGCGAAGCAGAGGGCAGCAGGGAGAACGGCATGCTCTTGAGCTCATTGTTTGAGAGGCACTCCTGGGAAAGTTAACTTTACATTATTTGCATTCGAAGATGATATCTTACAGGTTCACTGGGAACCTGAAGATCTGGGAATTATTCTTCAAACTGATGGATTTCATAATCTTTACTTTTGTTCTTAAAGATCTTGACAGCATATAAGGGGCGCAAACAAATAGTCGACTTACAATCGTCGATGAATGGTTTACCAATTCAGACCAACATTTATTTTTGTTGAATAAAAATTATTTCCATATCAGACAATTGTGTATCACAAAAAACCTAAAGCAACAAACTTTTATAAATCAAGATCCAAATTTATCTAAATTTCATTAAACTTTAGGACTAACCAACTACACTGGATAATTAAGACATAAAATATAGATGCTCTAAAGAAGAGGCATCAATACAGCAATACAATAATTACTAAAACGTTGAATTTATATTGGTGATGAGAAAATAGAATGCATAATGTAAATTATTTAGTTTTACACTCTTGTTCAAATGTACTTAAATTTAAAGGTCAGACTTGCAACCTTGTGAAAACTCCCCCAGAGCTGGAAGCATACCCCATTAGAAGCGAGCACATCCTCTGTCTCCTCTTCCTTGTTTTCAATGTGCATCTCAAAGGGATTCCCATCCTGATGATATTGCTGGAAAAGGGACAGTTCCTCCAGGGCCGGGGGAACCGAGGACGCAGCCTGTCTGCTTGGGGAAACGGAGGGAGAGCGGCACTGGCCCATGAACTTGAACTCCTGCATTAGAGAGGAAGGGACCACAAAACCAAATCTGATCTTAGCTCAATGCAAAAGACACAATCTCATTATCCTGTTTATCTGTTGAAAAACAGGAACATATTTTTAGAACATTATGGAGAGAAATTAATACAAGAACAAAAAACAAAACTCTTCTGCATGTATTTAAAAAGTCTTAAAAATGCCATCCACAACCAAAAATTCTAATTTTTAGAAGGGTTCTCTGAAAAAACATGTATCACTGTACTAAAACTAAGAAGAAAGAAAAATGAAAATATTCAACTGAAGTTAGGTAACTGAAGCAGCTAATTATTTAATTTGATATTTTCAAATTAAACTCCCTTAAGAGGAAATTGAACCACAATCTTCAAGACTTCCTTAGCTAGACTTATACAGATTTATTTTGTATTTTGTCATTTTGTATACACGAGTGTATATAAAAAGAAATTTTGTTTAAAACAGCTATAGACAATTTCAAAAGTGCAGCCTTGAAAAACAGTAAAAAAAATGTCTCATTACCAACGTGTCTACAACACTGCAATCACAAACACATGTAATATCATGAGTAACCTACAAAACTGAGGGTTTAGCACCTGGACAATCAGTTAAATCCTTGTTGAAAAAGAAATAAAAAACTTCTTTAAAGGTGACACTACAATATGGACACATTTTCTCATATGTAGTTAAGAGTAATGCAATGAAAGATCCAAATTTTATAGATAATTTCAATTGAACTGGGTAAAAGTTATGAAACCGGAAGTTGGGTTTTCGGTTCCCATTCAATACAGAATTGTGCAAGAAACCTCACAATCTGCTGGTTGCACCGAAATATTATTACCAAATTATTATTGCCAAATGCAAACAATTTTCTTATAAACTATGATTAATATTTATTCACAATTTTAACAGTAGCCAAAAGATGTCCAACCAGCCCATGCACAGTTTGGAAGTGTGTTCACCTTCGTACAGCAGAGACCTGAATTTAACAGGGAGACCAACACATACTGGTCTCTCTGTGCAATGGGCTCATACATACAACAGTTTATAGAAAAAAAAAAAGCTGCTTAAATGGAAAAAACAGATCCAGCCAAAGTAGCGGTGTGTTGCAATGTGCATAGCAGCTGCATCACCTTGACAATGTATGATTAGGTCGTTGCCTTGGGATGATGTGAGCGTTTCCTGTCCTGCTTTACATTCAGCAAAAAATCCACTGTGGTGCCTCTGCACCACAGCCCCCGACCATAAACCATCACATGCTTACAAAGTAAGACTTGGGCCTGCTTAAATAAAACTGGGATCTCTAATGCAACATCACACATAATGGGGAGTCTAATGCATAATCATTTCCCCTCAGAGGACCATTCTAAGACTCTACAGGAACATTCTGGGTGATCTGAGAGTTGGGGAAATGGCATTAATCACGTATGCGCTAGCTCAATAAAACCAAATGCATAGACAACACATTTACTCCTGTGGTTGGTTATTAAATATGAAGGACACCAGGTTCATTTGAAACAAATGAAGGTGGGAGAATCAACTTTTAACTGCTGGCCATCATCGGTCCCTTTATGTTCATCTGGCGTCTAAAATGAGGCACGCACAAACTCAACACAATTGTCAAACACAGAGATTTAAATAAAATTTCCAGCAGGGGTTTATGCTATATGTGAACACATGACTGTGAGCAACCTTTCATTACTTCTTTTGTTTTTTATTTATCTTTTACTCACGTGGAGCTGGGAAATGTTAAAGTTGGACTTGACTGGACACAGTTCCCACGTTTCATTTTCTAGAAACATCCTGAGCTCTTCCAATCGTGCCCTAAATAAAGACAGAAGAAATGAGCAGAAAGATAAAAAACAAACAAACTGACATAAAGAATATTAAAGCAATATCTGCTAAATACCAATGATTATTTTTCAAGAACAAAGCCACTATTTTCAGAGGATTCGAAATAAAAAGTGTGAACATGAAGAAAACCAGAGAATGGCTAGTGATGCACAGCAGGAAGTATCTGATTTGGAACCAGTTTTGATGTGTTAACAGCTCAAGACAGCCACCCTGGTGTTCACCTGCCAGATTAATATCCGTTCACACTGTGTTACATGTCATCGCAGTGTTCATTTGAAGCACAGCAGGACATCTTTTATGTCTTAAAGGTGTTTGCAATATAAGATGTGATGCAGCACAGAAGACAAGGAGAAAAATAAGAGGAACACATTTGTTGACTTAAGATAAGTTTAGTACATACATTTAATTATGGATTGGAAAACTTATCACCCTGGTGTATTTTTTAATGGTCTCTAAACCACACCGACATCAGTGGCTTAATGTGCTCCTGTTTCTTCACATCCTGCAGTTTTTCAGTTTCACCTCCATCTCTAAGGTGTGTATATTGTTTCTGACTTGTGTCACCGGATGGTTGGACATTTCATCAATGATCCCTCACATATAACCTCAATGCAGATGAAGGTGTGTCCTCTTCAATGACAGGAGACCATCCAACAGTGAGGAGATATTCATGAGATTTGCAGGCTCTAATGTAATCGTGATGTGAAAAAGTTTTTTTCCCTCACTAAGAGTTTCCATATAATTATGCGTCTATTCCAAAGAGGATTATGCGAGTGATGGAGTGCATTACAATGAGCTACTGGCCATCATTTTGCATAGAAGTCTCTTTTCTTATTGAATGTCCAGTCTAAAATGATTTAGTTTTATTCTGCATTGAGATGTTTTTATAGTTGCTGTTTTCACTTGATCAAAAAGAGCAAATAATTCCTGTTACCTGTGATAGTTTTTGAAGTAGTTCACACTCTGGCGTTTGATAGACTCCTGCAGGACCTCTGACTTACTGCCACAGAACTCTTCACCAACCTGCATCAACCTGGAAGACAGAGAGTAATGAGGGCAGGTGAAAAGAGGGGTTCCTTCAAAAATATAAAGTCTGTCTAGAATATGGACAAAATCCTGAATAATGTGATTAAGGGCTGCTAGTTATGCAATTCCATTTTACTTTTCTTGTCTTATTAGGTTCAGCAACTTTCTCTAAAACCTTCTCAGTCCAACCAGGCTTATTATATGGTACTAAATTGTACCATCTTATGTAATGCATCATTTATTTAAAAATCTATGTATAACACCATATAGCATATTATGCATTGCAGTAAAGGTAATTCCTTGCAACCTATTGCTCCCTGTTGTTTATTATATGCTGTGAAATGTTTATTTTTTACAGGGACAGTATGATTAAATGTCATCCATAGGCAGCAGATGCAGTGTACACGGGCTTAAAACCAAACCCAAATATCCGGCAACCCCCGTCCCCAGATAGGCTTTTCCTCAAATAAAGATCGTGACACTTTTAAAAAGTATCAAGCAATTATTGCATGCAAAAATTACAGTCAACATTTTAAATACACAAAAAACACATCTAGATCAGGTTTTACTGTGTTCACAGTGTTGTTGCCCCTCAGTGCTTCAGTTGCAGGAAAAAAATAAAAAAAACTCTCACACATTCTATATCCAGTGGTTTATATAATTGCAATATTTCCATTAAATAAGTAATAACACTAAAATTGCATGCGAGTGTGTTTGTTTATGTGATAACTCCGGAAAACAACATGGCAGCAGCGGATGTAACAGATTTTTTTTCCTTTATTCGTTGATGTAATCTTGTCCATTTTCCAGCCATGGCTCTAGTGCTCATCTCGCTCATCGTCGCAAAATAAATGTAAAAAAAAAAGTATTGCGATGTCCACTCATATTGATTCACTGTCACACCCTAATGGCACATATTCAAAAATCAAATATAGCGAAAAGGCTGTGAAGGCTGTGGAGTATTTCTGTGGTGTGTGTTTGACAGACAGCAAAGTGTTGGCAGAAAGCTGCAATTTAATATCACTTTTTTATAACTAACACAGAAGCCATGAGTCAGAAAATCTGAATAATAATAAAATGTAAGCAGAGTGACTAATAAACAAAAAAATAGCTCTAACCTTCTAAAAACGTATTAATTTGTCGTCTTTATCTTTTTCCTCACACTTGTTCACCCTTTTATCAAGCATGCATGCACTTCTATTTGTTAATCACATATTGGATTCATGAATGTAATCGCTACGTAATTAGTTTTATTACATTTCTTGTGCTTTTATTTTTTTCTGAGATTTTTCCTCCAATATGTTTTAATCTTTTTCCCCCAAGTTTTCTCTATTCGCAATTAGTATAAAATGTGTGTCTATTAGGAATGACAGACTTTTATATTTTCTAAAACAAACTCCTTAACATGAACATTTCATATTCATGGGTTGAAAATGAGGATTATACAATAACACACTGAAATCCTTGGTACATTCAGTGAAAATAACTCTGACCTCTTCCAATGATAAGAAAAATTTAAGGTCAAATTATAATATTAACGTGAATACCAATGAGCTAAACAACACAAAGCTGAGTCATAGATCAACAACTAGATGGAAGCTGAGTGTTACTATTAGGTGACATCAAAGTATCCCATTAAATCTAAAAACATACTGCTTATAGAGACTAAAACCTATTTGGTTATAATCTCCTTTTTAAGACAATTTTTAGTAAAGAAATGTAAAATAAAACTATGGTTTTAGTGCATGACAGTCGTGTCAAGGTTAGGCATTAGATATAGAACGTGATGACATAGATGGTTGGACCAACTGGATGAATGGATGTCTTTTTACTAAAGCAGAATTAAAAAACGTATTTTTTTTTAATCACCCGTTTATAAATCAGGGGAAATTGAACCAGTAATAACAGATGTAATAGTACATGTCATCATTAAAATTTTCTTTTGGTGTCTGGTGTAGCTTCTTTCCACTAATTTGAGTGGATGTGCCTAAAACACTGAGTGCTGTGACAGGGACTCTGAAAAGTCCAGCAGGTCAACCTGATTACTGTGACAAAGGGAGGAGGGGGCAGTGAGAGCAAGACAAGGCCAATTAGTAGAATCATAAAGGTGTCTGAGCTGATGCTGACGCCTACCTGCTGATGACATCCAGCACCACTATGAAATCATCGTATTTGAAGTTAGACATGTCCGTTCCCAAGATATAGACCTTCACCTTTAGCTGGACATCCTGAGGAGAGACACAGAGGCATAGGTGGGATGGGTAGTTTTTTTTAAGGATTAGAGCTCTTAATGGATTCACAATCTGAATGAAAAAAAAAAAAGTAAATAAAATTGGAAGGAAGGAGAAATGTTTGCCAGCAAACCTGCCAGATCCTCGTCAATCCGTGCTCCAGCTTCTTCTTGACGTAGCTGCGGTCCACATTCAACTCATCCGGCTCTGCTGCTGAGTCATCTACAGGAAAAAAGTTAACAAAATCAGAGAAAACAAACAAAAAGAGGTATAATAATGGCAAAAAGAACACAAAAAAAACATTTAGCGCCAGCTGAAAAATCTCTTTTCCAACTGAAACAGTACCCAAGTTCAAGCTTGGTGCAAATGACTAATGTTGGTTAATATGGACAAAACTACTTCTACAATAAATAGGAAAATGAAAAGGTAAATATGGAGTATTAGGACTTTTTGAAGCTTATCAATGTCCTTCCCTATCAGATGATGACTCAGCTGAGAACAGCTGTCAGCAGTGGTTGCCACTCTGCATCTTAAAGGCCTGAAGGTCACAAACTCCCAGCAGAGATGAACGACTGACAGCAGCTCAGAGCCAGATACTGTGGAGGCCTGCGTGCTGTCAGACATGATTCCTCCTCCATCATCAGCTCACCTTCCTCTCTGTTGCGTCTCTATTGTCTTTGTTATTTTAAATAAGCTGACATATTGTGCCGAATATAGCCACATCAATACTACTCTTTAGCTGAAAATTGCTTCGCATAATCTCAAGCGGCTTCCCCTGTATGAAATGGATTTTTAGGAAAGCCAGCAGCGGTTAGCCGTGAAGGCAACAAGTAGTCAGCTGTCAGTCATGAAATAAATTACATTGCCATAAAAATATAAAACCTGCTGGTGATACTCCAATAAAAGGAAAGAAGTGGACACTGGCTAAATGTAATAACACATATTAATGAGATTTTTTTTTAATCACAAAAATCCTAATATTAAATGAAAATAACATGAATGAATGCAAAAAACAGTTTTCAAATATTTCTATTTATTTAAAGAACAATGTTCCAAAACAGCATGGCACTATTTGAAAAAGTAGTGGCAACATTAGTTACATAAATAAATAAACGTTGCATCCAAGGGGTGCTAAAAAACGTAATACAAATTTTTGGGGCCATATAACTTTAGGTGATTAAAAGTCTTAGGTTCAATGTATTACAACCAAATTGGTCTAGACACAATCTGTAAACTATTTAATCTAGAGTTTGAGAAGTCTTCCAGAGCTAAATTATTTTGTTCAGTAAAATACAACATTAAAATATGGAGCCGTGGTAAAAACATTCGCTGTTTGCTCACAGAAAGTATTTTGGAAACACAGAAATTAAAGAACACAGAGTACATCTCCATTATATGAGGGCAAAATAAGTCATATAAACGGATGACTGGCTGACAGTACTGACCAGGATAAACCCATATTTTTCTCATCATCCTTCTTCTTTCTTTATTATTAACATAAAATCATAGGAATTTCTTTCTGCACTTCCGAATATTTGTCACTAAAATCTATATCTGCTGTTGTTATGAAGCCCAGCAAAAGTCTATTTAAAAGAAACCAAATACATCAACCATGAGGTGATATCTTTGCACTTGCATACACTGCAAAACATATCTAAAAAAGGGTAACAACTTCTTAAAATAATGTATTTACCCTTAATATGTGCAGGTAAATAAGAGTGAATATTTGTTTGCTTAAAATAAGATAAAACAGGACAGTGAGATATTTTGAACTTTGAAGAGTTTTTCTTTTTTAAACTGAAATATTTTTATTTCACTGGTGTTACTTGCCAGCAAAAAAAAAACAAATTAAAAGTGTAAATGATTTTGCAATGGGAAATGTGATTGTATTCCTTAATGAATTGGATCTTTTCAACTCAGAATGTGTCAAAAACTGTATTCTAGCCTTGCACAGTGGTTAAAGGGGCTAACCGCTTAACTGAACATAAGACAAAAAACAAACACTTATTATAGGTTAGCTTTTTGTCTTTTGTTTTTGTAAAGTACAAATTATCCTGGAAAGACTCACACAGAAAAAATGGTATTCGAAAGACTTTATTAACATGCATGGAAATCAGTTATTTAGAGCCCAGGCCTCAGCAGAAGACTTCGATACAGATTTTTGCACTTTTTCCAACTTTAGGCACTTGGACAACAGTCCAACGCCATCTTTCAGTTTAAAGATTTTATGGATTATTGTGTTTTCCCCCAACAAAAACATCAGGTAAATTAGTTTTTTCTGTTTTTATCCTGAAATCAATGGTAATTTTTTTAATATTTTTACTATCTGACGGAGTTGTTAGAAACTAGTGCAATGGTCATTAAAAGACAATAAGATAATAAGATGTGAGAAAGCAACTTGACATGTGAAGATTCGATTTAATGAGCACACCAATGAAACTTCAGGGAAGGAGCTGTGAGGAATGCAGAGCAAAAGTATTTGGGGAGGACGAGTTAAAACCGAGGAGGAGAAAGCTAGCAGCTTTGGAACAAGGTGAGAAAGCAGAGGCTTCTAATGATGAACTGATTAGGTTCACAAACAGAAATCTATCACTGTTAGAGGTGCAGAATTGAATAACCTACTCAGCAATTATCGATTGTTTTAACAAGTTTGCAAGGAATTGTAGAAATAAAGAAAAATGCTAGAACTGGGCTAACATTATGTCAATCTGCAATTAAAATGTGCAACACTAAAAGCTGGTGAAAAAGAAGTGTAAGAATTGTAATGTTTTTTTCTAATTCTATTCCTCTAAATGTGTTAAAGTTTCAACAGTAAATAAAGTAGAATTAGGGAGGGACCTGAACAGAGTTGAAAACCTTCTGCCACACTTTTCTAGGAAATATTTCTTTGCCCCAAAGCAGTTTCACGTATTTTGATAAATGTTATTTCCTGTGAATCAGACTGGAGAAAAGACAGAAGTCGAACATGAATCGTTTCTGACAAGTATGTGTCAACATCGGTAAAGCAGGTCCTCATTTCCTCTCCAAGTATGTTGCAAATTAGCACCTAAAAATAAACAGAGATGTGGTGGTTCACCTCTCTTTCCCAGCTCATCCAGCTCATTTGATTCAGTAATTAGAGTTTGTTTACTGCTTTAAGTACAGATAATAAATATTTAGTTTTATAGATTGTTTCAGAGGCAGCTCTGAATCTAACCTTATAGACATCAACTATACAGAAAATATATTTATTTTAAATAAGATAAAGTGGCCAGTGACAATATGGTTACTATATATATATATATATATATATATATATATAGATATAGTTAAAGGACATTTTAACCCCTTTCAGTCACTTTGTCTTTATGAAAAATAAAAAAAAAAATCCCCAAAGAGCTCCTAATTACATGAGAATGTGTTTAAATCTAACATATAGGATGAATAATCGAGGGAAAAGAAAAGATCAAATGAAATCATGTAAACATGGGGAACAATCTTTCTAAAATATTTCTGAAAACAATTGTCGTTTAACCTTAATATAGAACCATTGTATAGTGGCCCTCCTAATGAATAGGAGGTCCCAAGGATGGAACCTAGGGGAACACCACATTTGATTTTTGTGGTCTCTTTTGTAAAGTTATTGTACCTGTCCTTCACATAGGATTTAAATCAGACATATGCTGTACAAGAAAGGTGTTACCTTCTGCTACAGCAGCACAGCGGCCTCAAGATTCAGCCTGCTGTGTGGTCAAAGATGCCGTTCCTTAGACCTTGGTTTCAACAAGTTGGAGCCGTCATTTCTGTCTGCCCATTCTTTTTTAAATTGAAAAGGCCTTTTTTATTATTTATTTATTTATTTATTTTTTACAAGACTCCAGCTACCTGGATAAATTAGCATTTTTAGAAGACTCTCTTGGATTAAGAGGGATCTTTCATATGAAAATCTCAAAATAGAGAAAAAACTTTCTGAAATATTACAACCAGCCCGTCCAGTTTAATCCCCTTTGGTTCCCTCTCTGATACTCTGACAGAACTTCAATAGGTCATCTTTGCCTGATCAAAGTGTCTTAATAGATTGGGCGGCTGACTAATTTCCCATTTGTGCTAACAAAACTCCAAATAAAGTAACTGGTAAGTGAAAAGAGATGTTTCTGAATTAAAAAAAAACTGGTATATCACCCATTCTTTTATGTGCATATTTATTTAGATTAACTGAACAGATGCTGAAGGGCAATATGTCAGTGAACTTTATCAAGTAATACAAATATGACGGCTGCATATTTAGAGGTGGTCAAGTGAAGATAGGCCAAACTCACTCACACGGCCTATGGACAAACTAATGTCTTTTGAGGTGGAAACAAGCAGAGAAGACAGAGGTTTAAACATTTTTGAACTCAATCCAATCGGACATTTACAGACATGTGCAGAAACAAGACAGAAAACAGGTCTCAAAGGACTGACTGTCAGAGTCTGAGCATTAAGCCAAAGGACCCCACTTTTCATACACTGTGGACCAAAGGGACCACCGCACTATTAGGAAAGCAGTTTTTTATATAACTGCAGTATAGTACCTGTCAGTTTTTACTGACTGTTGACATATGATGGGTGGGTACCAGAGCTGGAGCGCAGTTTTATTGACATTTAAAGCTTTCATGAGTTGCAATATGAAATGGATGTCAGTGCCATCAAAACACCATGTTCGAGGGGTACATCAAAGCCTCTTCAATAAGTCACTGCATAAAATGAGCTCCATCCGTTCCACCCACAGACCCCCACAAGCAAGGAGAAAAAGGTGAAATTCACTACAAAGCCAGAGTCGAGGTCACCTCTGCACTGGAGACATAGGTGAAAGTCAATCAAACACAAAGATGATAGATGATAGAAGTTAATATAAAATATGCCCCCTGTCTCTCCCTACAAGGGTGATGGGTTCTTGTCAATAATTCTATATCCTCATACTTTCATCTATCGTTTTATGTACAGTATGTAACTGAAAAAAAAATTTGGGTTGGCAAATAAGGACAATGCAACCTACTCCATTAAGATCATTAGCTTCTCATGAAGGTTGATCTGTGCATTTCCTCTGCTGGGATTGGTGGACCACTTGTGCAATTGCTTTGGGTCAAGAAGTCAAATCTAAAAGTAAGAACTACATGTTCTCACCTTGTTGTGTGATAACCTTGTAGTTGTGACAACTACAGTAGAAGTTTAACTCCTCTGGGATTAGCCAGTATTTAACTTACCTGTCAAGAAGGAAAGCAGTTACCTCTGAGAGGCTTCTGAGCCTTTTTGCTACTTTAGTCGTCAGCAACTCTCAAAAACTAGACCAACATCCTAGTTTATTTTGTTTCTCTTTTGTTGTTCTTTTTTTTTTTTTTTACTGAAACTGAGAAATTTAACGCTAAGAAGAAGCCATTCCTCAGCTTTTATTAGGGTGCTACTAGGATGTGGAACACCTGACTTCATGTCACAACTTCAACCTACTATTCCAATCGTTAACAATCCTTTTCATCAATATTGGCATCGTAACCAAAAGTACATATGTTTTTGACTCGTAAAGATCTACAAAATCATTATATGTTGGGTGCGTTCGATTTCTGTGTCCTCCCAAAGACCCGGTCTACCTGGACTGGGTCCTACGAAGACCCTGAAAATAGGAAGGCCGGAAGAGTTCGGCTATAGATTCAAACAGGTCCAGCCTCCTACGGCTGTCACAGCGCTTCACTCAACGCAAGCTCTGTCGCCTAGCAACTGTGACAGTTGACTTACAAAGCAGGCAAAGAATGGATGCCCAGCTTCTTATTACTGTTCTGTGTGATCATTTCTTTTTTTAAGAGCCTCAACAGCAGCACTGTTGTTGCACATGTTAGATTTATAGTCCCCACACTGCAGAGTTTAATGGCGTCTGAGCTTAAATGTTACCTAAACCCATTTGCACAGGAACAGATAAAAGATTTAAATTAATTAAACATTGCCTGCCATATGTTTGAATCAATAAACATTTAAATAAAGTATTGTCTTTAATTTAAGATGAAATGTTTCATATATTTATTATACTAAACTGCACTTACAATATTCAACACTGTTTGTCGCCACTTCCGTTTTTACTCTGAGCACGGAGCAGCCGGCTTCCTTGGACTCGCAATGAATCATGGGATATCTAAGGCTACAGATACACTAGACCTGTCCTTCCAACCAGTGAAAAGAGGGCTGTATTTGTCGATCGCATAGTAAGGAGACTTCAAATTTAAAGAGGCCACGGTGCTGGGCTATAATGTAATCAGACGACGAATCTGGACTTTGGAGGACGCAGTCGACGGATCCATACTATTAAATGTTTTTTTTTAGTGCTCCACTATTAACACCACTTTTAGATTTTCTATGGTTCTTTGAAACAGTATTTGTTGAAAGTATTTTGTCAAAAATGTTGTAGCATAACAAGGACAATACCTATGATTCTGTGTTATATTTGAGAAATCACTGTACAGAATTACTGTAGCTTAGCTATGGCTACTGCGTTTAAAAATTGCAACTACATTTGCAGGTATACAGTTGAAATAATTAGAATTAACAAATTGTTATTGATAAATATGCTGTTATTAACACTTAACAGATCACAAGGCATTATATCCCACTGATATCCTGAGAGAGATGCACTAAAATAAGGTGATACATCATTTCAAGCTCCAAAGATCAAACTTAATGCACTGAAGAGCCTTGGTGCAAGTAAGAATTCCACCTGAAAATAAGTGAAATGCTAAAGGCAACATAGAGTAATAGAGGCACACAAAATATAAGATGAGAGAGAAGACAATAAACATTAATCATGGTATTTTCCAATAATAACTCCAACTTGTGTTTCTAATAAGGTTCAGCCTAAGACAATAACTGACAGGTTAAAAACCAGAGAACATTTTAAGTTTGAGGAGTTACAAAGAAAATTCCTCCTACCTTGTGAGGGTGCGGCCTTCTGCTTGTCATGCTCTTCATGCCACTGCATGGTACGGTGGTAGCTCAGCATCACTTCCCACAGAGCCTTACAGAGATCCGTCAGGCAGGGAATGTAGCTGTCGAGGGTGATGTGCTGGAAAAAAAATAAAAGCGCAAGGAAAACAAAACCGGATCAAAAACAGATTTATTTTCCCAGAATAGCTCCCTTTCTGGAGGCTATAAAAATGTCTGTTTCAACAAACAAAATAAAAATAAATTAAAGGTTAACATAAGGGGGACATGGACATTTCCAAGGATTTCTGCAACTGGTATAATCTGTATCATTTACAGGCTGCAACCCAGAAGTGACTCAGAGTTTTTACAAAGTTCTAAATGCAAAAACTAAATGAGTGAGCATTACTTTCACCCAATTCTACACGTATATCTGAAGGCTTTTATTTTGGATTTTATTAATAACACAAAAGCTTCATCTGCTGTTCTCCAGACAATGTTTATTTCCACAGTGAGCTTCATTCCATCACAACTCCAGCCTTAAGTCTATTACTCTCCAGCTGTGAAGAAACCCCCGAAATTTTACAGACCAAACTTTCCACTCATTCTTTTTAAACTCCTAAATGACCTAAAGTAACATTAACTAGCTCATTATATCTAGATGCAGAATGTCTGTAGGGAGCTAAATACTGGGTTAATGGCAAAGAGGCCCTCCAACCTCAAATGCTTTGAGCTCGTCACAAAGGTGGAATAATCAAAATACAAGTAGGACGGTGCTAAAAGCTGGTCAGCAATATTAAGCAAATATAAGAAACATGCTGAAAAAGTAATTTACCATCTGACATCAAATGATCACAAATAGCTAACACTATATTACTTGAGCAAAAAAAAAAAAAGAAAAGAAAAAATTTATATATATAATATTACCAGTGCAATTACTGTAGGGGTGTTGCGGTTGACCTGCTAAGAATGACGACAATATTTATAAGAGGACTGTGCATTGCTGTAACCAAAGTTTGGGATTCTATACTGTATTTTATTTTGGACAAAAAAAAAAGAATATTCATTTATTGATTTAGTTTCTCTTATCAATGATCATAATTCCCAATAACCAACTTTAAAACAAAAAACAAAAGACAAGCAACAAAAGCCACTGCAGGTTGTGCTTTTGCAGCATCCAGGTTTAGTAAACAGAGACAACAAGATACTGGTTACAAACAGTGCAGAGAGAAGCTATTTAGTTCAAAATGTATTACAACACAGTTTAGAAACAAATTAACAGAAACAAATTTCCACATCTCTGTGACAAAACAACATCTTTATATTCATTGGTGAAGCAGTTTATTTTATAAATATTTTTTCATTCGTTGCAATCTAACCTACTTAATGTGTCCAAAGGTGCACACTAACAAATGCAGGGTGGTGCAACACTCTATGGCCCACTAGCTCTAAGACACAGAGTGTCAATGGGCAGCACATAAAAAAAAAAAAAATTCTTCTCTGGGTTGCACCACTGCTGGTGCGATGGAAGAATCAATCCAGACACAAGGAAATGTAGTGAAATAAGAAAGAGCATTGCTACCATTTTAAGTCTATAGGATTTTAAAATAGATTGATACATATACTGATGCCTTTCCTTCCACGGTGGGTGATTGCACCTATATGCTTACTTCTTCGTGACCAAAAACAAGTTTGTGCCTGACCTCTGAGGGATCTGAAGCTATCTGACTATTGATATCTTTTCCTGTTTTGGGTTGCTCCCACATTGGGTTAAAAAAATCAGCTTTGTACAGAGTAGCCAAAAAATGCTAGTTTACCCCCCCCCCCTTATCTAGTATTGCTACAATGAACTGATTAATGATAAAACATTTCTAAAAGTTCCTTTGTCTAAACATTCGCCTGGTTTGTTGGACTTTACAGAGACAGGTGGTATTATCATTTTAGAAGAACTCTGCATTAAAAATCAAGAAAAACTCTTTCTGCACCCTGATTTCTCCTACTAACCAACACCACTGCACATCTGGCACTAAAAGTTTTCCTCACTGCTGACACTCTTCAGGGAGGATAAGTAATCAGAGATTCATTTCTTAAAGTTTGGAGAAACAAACTGAAACATTTTCCAGCCTCCTAAAGATAAACAAAGATGAGTGCATTAGACACACATGCAGATTCCCAGTATGTCAATGCTCGTCCATCTTTAAAAAACACTGTTCTTTATGCCAAATGTTAACCTAAAATCTATTAGTCTAAGCAGAATGACAAAAAGCAAGAAATAATTTTCTAGGATCAGTAACATGCTAATGTAAATCTTTTACTGAATGAACAATAGCACACACAAACAGCTGAAAGCAAAAGATAAAACAAAGAAAATAGTGAAAACGACATAATCTTAATGCAGTGCAGTGCTTTATCAGCTTTAGGTGCAGTATTACACAACTTCACATAGAACCATCAGTATCCTATCCAATAGGATTCACTCTGTGGACTGCCTGAGATATAAAGTCGGCTGTGATTTAGTTTTCAAATAAAAAACTCCTGTAACGAGTTCCTTCCTTCACGACAATGCAATTATCCAACTTCAATACACCAGAAAGAACAATTGTGCATTTTATCAAACAATTCAGTGTCTAAAGGGGGTATTCAACAGAAACTGAAGCTGGTTATTTCCCTAGTCACACAGCTTCTATCAAGTTGAATAAATTTCAATGTTATAACTAAAAACATGCCAGAATTTGTATCTTTAGACCTATAATCTGCATAGATACATGTTCTGACTCTCAATTTGATCCAATTAGGCCACATTCAGCTGCTAACAATAGTAACCACTGGCAGAGATTAAAGCTCTGTCATCAGCAAGCTAAGTCCTGCCAACATGTTCACCAATAAATTTATCTCAAACAGACGAAACACAACAGTGCAGAGCAAACATGCTTTTTTTCCTTTTCTTAAAAACTATTAAATGAGTTCTTGAAAAGCCTAACAGCATTCTTTGCAAACTCTGTTACCACTGTACTGTAGTTATATTTTTTCCCAGAGATCATGGAGGACAAACCAGCATCAGACAATCTCTAAACAGAACAAGACATGTGAAGTAGATGAATGCCTGGGAGCACTCTGGAGGAATCATTGCACTGGATAACATTTATTACAGATTCCTAAAGGAATGAGCAGCATGACTCACATTAATCAGCAATGCTTAAAGGTTATTCTACAGCCAAAACCCCATCCCTAAAAATATTTTTTTTATAGATAGAGATTATATGTTTTAGGGGTCTTGTTTTGTTCTTTAGTTGTTTTTTTTTAATATCTCCATATTATTTGTGTCTAAATAAAATTTTGTGAAGAAATTAAGACTATTTTGTGGACCCTGAATTCTTTGTTTGTCTATGATATATTTCATTTAGAAGAAAACATCTCCTATGTTTTGTATTTTGGATGGAAATGTAAAGTTCTTACTTTGCTATTAGGGTTGTCATAAGTGTCAATATAAACCAAAACATTGATTGAACAACACATTGTATTCTGAAAAAATACTAATTTGGCACAGTACTGATACTAAGCATAAGCATTGTTGGCATATTTCTAAATTTTCTGAGGATACTGTACACAGTTTATATAAAGTATCATTTGAGTTTAACTAATGTAAAATTCCTCACCAATATTATTTTTTTGTGAGTTTTAAGTATTGCTCTAAATTTAAAATATTCTATGTTTATAAAACATTCTTTGAAGATGCAGTTTATTACTAATAATGACCAAATCCCAATATCTCTATGCCCATCTAGATAGCTGGTAATCATCTGGAATGCTGAAAATTCATATTTATCTAATACTATATTAACTAAAAACGTAACAATTGTCTCTGTCATATAAAATAGCCAGAGATGGTCTAAAAAAATATTTTATACAAATGGTAAATGGCCTGTACATAAAGAGTGTGTGTAAGAACCAACCTTGGCAAACTCTTTACAGTTGTTGCCATTTTTCATGACGCACAGAACATTTTTTTGGAGACCTCTCCATTTGCACACTGCGGCCTACTGTGATTGTGACTGGTATTTACTAAAATTTATTAAAAAATATTAATTTATAAATAACACACCTGATAGCATAAATCTAGCAAGGCTTTTGCCATGGTTGGCTGTCTTTACTCTGAGTTTCTACAAAGCTAGTAACATTATCATAATAATTTAAGGTTATAATCACATAAGACTGGCAACGACAATTTGTTATGGAGAGTGAAGCTGCTAGCATGCTTTGAAAAGCCTTGAGCCATTTCAGACAAAACCACTCTGACATCCTGTGTTCTCTGCCGGCCAGCACTATCAGCCCACTGTGTTGCCAAGGCACTGAGGTGACAGGTGTTTCAGTGTGTGGGCTGAGATCTTTGCGCACCGAGCCTTAATGAGAAGAAGTAACCTGAGCTACACCCACACAGAAGCTGTATGTGTGTGAGCATCCCTTAGTCTGTGTAAGTGCCGAGGGGCCCGACTGACTGGACTTAACTGGACTCAAGGCGGCTGCTACACCCATCATGGAGAACATAGTTTAAGGAGTTTTTCCAGTTGAGAAATCCAGTACATAAACAACTTTGGGCTGTTTTTAAGAAGCTCCATGATTCTGCCACAGAATCTACAGTGGAGGAAAAAATGAGCAAAGCATGGTTTACTGCTGCTGTGCTGAAAAGAGGAAAAGACTATTTATCTAATTCAAACTATACTCAAAAACTTCAAAAGTAATAAATGTAGGAAATTTATTTTTATCTGGATAAACTTAAAATCTATTAATTCTATCCACGAGACTGTGAATGTTTTACGTTGTACTGCACCTCACTGGTTTGACAATTAACCACTTTTCTTTTTACATAATTACATATTAAATACTAATGTAGTACAGAGCACTATTTTTGGTTGATCTTTTTTTATAATAAAGTGAAATAAGATGTAGATAATTTTGTTAGGTTGCCAAGTTCTTTTTTATAAACTGCTCTCACTAGACCTATTGGCACCCGGTTAAAAAAGAAAAATAAATTTATAGCAGCATAATCTAAAACTTTTTTATTATTCAAACACAAAAACTTCAGTTAAACTAAACTCTTATTTATGATGTGGGAAAAAATTCACAGTAAGAAGCAATAAAATTAGAGGTGCAACATTGATTAGAAGCCAAAACAATTTGTTTGCAGTCTCTAAATCACTACAAAGTGGTATTATATACAAATCCTAGCACCTTTCAAAGTTATTGGAGCCTCTGGTCAAAAGTGAAGAAAATCCTTAACTAAAAAGTAGGTAACCTTGTTATGTTTCCAAGTTGTTGTTTTTTTTATTTTTTATAAAATGCTGTCACTAGAGCTATTAACAACCCAGTAAAGAAAAAAAGATCATCATTTGTCATCAAAGTAGCACGGTCTCAAACTATTCTTTTAATTAAAAAACAAAAACTTTTAATTAATCTGAACTCATTTACTAGATGTGGAAAACAATTCCAGAGTGAGAATAAAATCTCTTTATGAGATATGAGCAAATTTTCCTAAACACTCAAAGACTAAACCAGACAAATATAAAAAAATATATATTAATGGTTTAAAGAAAATGTTGAGGGTTCCCACATCAGTTATCAAAAAATAGGTGCTGGATGTAATAAAATAAACTCTCTGTTTTATGAAGAGTATTAAAAATGCTTGGCAAACAGCAGAAGGCTAAATACGTATTTTGTGTGAGCAACAAAGTCCAAATCGTTTTGTCCAAATCGCTGAAACTTCAGTAAAGCCCATAACCAAACTTCTCCATCAACCTAGGACTTTTTATGTCAACTCTCCTACTTGCAATGACTAAAAGCAAGACAGACCAGGGAACAGATAAGAAGAGAAACTATCTTTTAATGAGATGTAAAATTAATAAGACCCTTTCACAATGAGAACTGACCTTTGCCAATGCTCCCGTGTCCCTTGAATTTTTAAAGAGCATAACTTAGCATCAGGTTCAGAGGGGCTGGAACACTTTCCTAAGCTTTATTTGTCTAGGGACCACACTAAGAAGTTTGTCCCCCTCTGCAAACACTAAGTTTTAATATAGTGTTTAATATAGTTAAACATCAAGCTTTCAAGGATGGCAAAATTGTACGGCTTAGTAGAGCATAAGCAAGGGCAGCACTGATGCTTTAAGCAGCCATGAGGCACATCATATCTCTAGGGGAGATGCAAAGATCCATGGTGCAGAAGGGAGAACATGTCCACAATGCAACTTTGGGTGCCGTGACTTTTATGGAAGAGTGGAAAGGAGTTAAAATAAAATGGAAAGGTCATGGTAGTTTGTCAGGATTCATCTTGAGGGTACAAAAAAAATAAGTGATCAGATCAGACCAAACTGTTGGCCTATATGAAAAATATTAAAGGGGCAGAAAGTAATACTTAAAATCAAACTAAACAACATCCCCAGAGACAAAAACGGTGGCGCCAATGTTATTGCACCAAAGATTTCTCTCATATGTTATTTCACAAAGGCATTAGGTTAAATGCAAACAGTTACAGTTTAGTTTTTTAAATAAAGTTGTAAGTGCAAATGTAAAATACTTTTATTGGATAAATGGGCCATAAAAAACACCACTCAAAAAACAGCAAACTATTCAATGTTGTCCATTAATGGAAATGGCATGGGGAGTTTAAAAGAATAATTTTATCTTTGTGTGTGTTGATGTAGCCAAAACAAATGTGTTGATGTATCTGCGATGTATCTGTGAACAGAAAACACACGTTTGTGTTCACTGATTCTCTCCAGTTTCATAGATGGACACCCAGCAAAAAAATTATTGTCAGTTTTTTGGGGTTTTTTTTGCATATTTGTTGCACACAGAGCAGCTCATTAGCTGAGCATCGTCGTCATAAATAAGCCAGTCACTTGCGAAACACAGTCTTTGCGAAAGCGAAAATTTTTTGATAAACTTTCCCTTTGCCATGGAGGCTGTAGATCCCCTCCTACCCATCCGTATGCTGTGTTTTAGAAGGCTTGGTTGCTCTGACTAAATACCACCGCAGTTTGCCTACCGACGCAGTTGTTGTTAAATGACAGGGTGTTTGGGGTTTGCTGTCTGTATGCGTGTCTGTCTCTTGACGTGTGTCGGGACAGCAGAGGAACAAAGGGACAGAGGGGAACTTACCAAAATAAAAGGACATGACTCATGAATTTGTGGTCCAAAGATCTACTCACCTTGTGGTGAATGATGCTCTGGCATTAACTCGCTAAATGAAAAATGTATTTATATTTTAAAAGTGGGAAGACATGGCCCTGAGGAAATAACCTATCAATGTAAAAGCAAGGAAAACCCACCACACACTTACTTCACACAAGCTCAAAATGCTCTTACTGCAAAGATGAAGTGTGAGTGGGTGTTCTCTTTATTTGAGTGCATGAGAATGTACTACCTTTGGCATTGCATAGAGCGGACAGTAACAGAACATCATTGCTGTTTGATCACAGTGAGCTTAAATCCAGAGTGTATGTGTGTGGTGTTGGAAGAAACGGTCAGAAAGCAGGCTGTGGGAAGACCAAGATCTGTCTACAATGACGGCACAGTTGCAGGTACAACCTCATTCATACATTTAAACACTTTCAGAGACAGAGCCACACGAGCAACGAGATAGAAACTAAGGGAATATTTTCAAAGATTTAAGTAAGGGAATGGACCACACAAAGTAGTTTATGTGCAAGACTGCAAAAATAAATGCAAAAGAAAGTAGCAAAACAAAAGAACAGGCTTAAATATCTGGTTGAAGAAAAAAAAAAAAGCAGCATGGAGCACTTGATAAATGCCAAGGAAAGTCCCTCCAAGGCCACTTTCTACGAGCGGGACAGGAAAACATGCATAAACACAGGAACAGATGACAGGTGACAGGAAGGAGAGGTAATACAAAGGTAAGAGGTAAAGGACGGGCCATTGCTGACATGAGCACAGCTGGCAACCCCCCCCATTGGCAAATGTTGTGCTCTCGAAGTGCAATGCCAAACAGACCAAAGAATATATTAACCATAAGGATGCAGTAACATTTACCTCCCCATATCGCCCTTCCATTCTGTTAACCGGAATAAAACACAGCCTCCGGAGGAAAGCACAGTCTCGACAAGTTTGTGATGTATTGGCCAAGTTCTGGCTTACTGAGCATGCAAATGAGATTTATTTGGAATTTGGGAGAAGACAGAATAAGACAAAGGATGAACTGAGCTGTGTGGGCCTGAAAGAGGGCGCTACTGCAGCAATGCACTCTGCTTCATATTGTGAGTAAGATTAATGATCTTGTGAGGAGCTACGATGCACCATGCGCTCAATCATTTGCTCAATGCTCCCATCCTTCATTTCACCCTGTGAGGGAACTGTGAAGGATTCCCATGTCATGAAATGAGGCAAATTTACATTTGGCTGTACAGTAAAACAAATGTGAAGGAGTGTTGGCGCAGTGAGAGAAAAATAAGAGTTTGATGTCTGGTTGTGCATTTTCTAAACAATACATCATTTTAAGACATAATAGCACAAAAGATTGGCTGTACTCACGTTATCTCTCTAATACACAGTTAAACTGCACGCACAGTCCTGTCCTTACCGTGCAAAGGTCCTTATACTGCATCTTTTGAAACTTGGTGTCCGCATTGCCAGCACACAGTTCTACGTATCCCAGCACAACCTGGAACACTGTGTTGTGGATGGCCTGGGTGAAGTGCATGTGCAGCTGATCCATCGCAGTCTACAGAGGGAGCAGAACAGTTTGGTAAGATACACAGCAATGTCAAGATGTCATTATCGTTACTGTTTAATAGTGTGGAAGGAGAAAAAGTGCAAATCAAAGACGGACACACATTTTGTGTGGATAATACTATGCAGTGAAGGATTGACAATGGATCAGAATGTCCTTGGCAACCGCTGCTTCCAAACTCACATCAAAATGATTTATGATGCGGCTGCCTTTAATCTGGGTGTAGGTAATATGTGTCTGTGGCGTGGCTTTATATTGGTTTTAAATTCACCAGTGCTCTACAATAGCAAAAAATAATAATAATTAGAAAATTAAGATAAATAATGAAGTTAGGAAGACCCAGTAAATAAAAAAATAAAACAAGATAGAAATATTTAGCTCTGTAAATATCAGAGTTGGCAAACCTGCTTTTGATAAATACTAAGATGGATACATAAACCAAATGTTCTGTTTTGTTTTTTTTTTGACAGCTTGGATTTGATTATATCCAACTGGCTGCTTGGTAGTTTGGTTGGTCGGTTGTGGCTGTTTGCTGGGATTGAACAGCTAGATAGCTGGGCAGCACGATGACAGACTGGAGCCAGAATTCTGGCTGTACTATAGGGAATAACAAACATAACTGTATAACAAGATATTTACTTCTATTCAATGTGAATTTTAATGTTTCTCATTTTTTTTTAGTTATTCTGTCTATGTATAAATAAAACTACTATTAGTACTGAAGGTTTTTTTGTTGTTTGGTTTTGTCCATTTTAAGTTTGAATAGGAGAAATACCAAATCCTAAAGTATTAAGCATGCCTTCATGTCACAGGAATGGCCTCCTCTTAACCTTGTTGAATACTCCGCTATAATTACCACTAGACCTTGTTGAATACTTCCAAACTCTTAGAAAGTCCCATTCACTAAGGCTTACATCACATCTACAGATAAAAATACAACAGCACTACAAAAGCAGAAGACACATTTTTATGGAATAGTTTGTGCATCTTTTTCCATAATGTAAACCATGAGAGGAGGTTATTTGCAAGCTAGGACTGTTAAGTCATTGAATGATGGACTTATTGGTCGATAAGTTCTGGGTTGACTGTGACTAACTGCATGTGCTTTCTTCATCCTCCGACATGGGAGCTTGCTCGGAGCTCGTCTGCCTGACTGTTTGTTTCCTGGACGGGGCCGCCTTTTACAGCTGCCGTTTGTATCTCTGCTTCTTTCTGTAGGACTGCTTCTGTCTCCTTGAACGCCAGTCGGCCTCGACAGATGGCCGCTCACACTTGTTTCCTGTTCAAAGGGAGTTTTTCCTCTCCACTGTCGCTACAAGCACACTTAGTGTGAGGGAATGCCTTCGAGTCAATGCAATCAACTGGTTTAAAATAAACTTTAAATTAATTTGACTGTATGATCTGGTATACTGTAAAGTGCCTTGTTATGACGTGTTGTGAACTGGTGCTATATAAATAAACTGAACTGAATTGATTTGAATTTACAAAAATTGTGATTGGTCAATCAATTTGGCAGTCAATTATGCCTTTAAAATTGGAGAAGAAAAGAGTGTCTGTGGTATGTGACAATACGACTAATATCATACTCCTATTAGCTGCCCTCACTTCAAATACAGTACCTTGCAGTATTATTCCTCCCCCTTGAACTTTTTGACCTTTTGCCACATTTCAGGCTACAAACATAAAGACATAAAATAGTGAGTTTTTGTGAAGAATCAACAAGCTGGACACGCCCAGGAAATGGAACAAAAATAAATGCATATTTTAAACTTTTTTTAATCAAAAAAAAAAAATTGGCTTTTTAAAATTATTCAGCCCCTTTGAGTAAACATTTTGTAGCACCACGTTTTTCTGTGATTACAGCTGCTTGTTGCTTGCTGCATGTCTCAATCAGTTTTGTAAATGGAGAGACTGAAATATTTGGCCAATTCTTCCTGACAAACAGCTTGAGCTCAGTGAGGTTGGATGGAGACAGTTTGTGAAAAGCAGTTTTTGGTTCTTTGAATACATACATATACATACATGTACATACATAAACATTTCTATATATATATATATATATATATATATATATATATATATATATATATACATACACACATTTTATTATATTATATTATAAATATTATATAATGAGCAATAGTGCCATGCCTACTGTTTGCAGGCTATTATTTTGAGCTTATGCTTTATTTTTCAGGAATGCTTTATTTCTTTTGCAGTTGTCTAATAAAGCCTGAGGTTTATTGCCTCCTTGTGCTTTATCAGTACATTTTCCGGAATCCAGAGGTATTACATTTGAACCCTGCAAAATTGATGACAGCAGAGTTTGAGGAGATGATGGCACACCGCTGAGTGATGTCCTCAGTTTAGAGATGCTGCCATGTAATTTAATTTTCTTACCGTCAGGCCTTGACCACTAACTGCGACCCTCAGTCCATTATGACTCCCTGTTGACATGAAAGTAATTCAAGCATTTTTTTACCTCCTTTTAAAGGGACTTTTACCTCGTTAGGCATTTATATACTGTACATATATATATATATATAGATATACCGGTATATATATTTTTATATTTTATTATGCACCGTGGGGTTGAGGGGATGGAAATTTCATCTGTGTTGTATGTTTACATGTAGCACATTTGACAATAAAGTTGAGTTGAGTTGAAAACACAATGAAAATCACTTGCAAAATCAAAGTACTGTTTTTCAAATTTGGATTAAAATATTAAAAATCAAGAATTAAAAAGATCCCGGGGGTTTCTCCATAATAATAAACAGACTCAATGTTGGGTGCTTTGTCAAACTGGCACAGAGCAACTGATTGGAAAGTATTAAATCAGATGTCAATTACACACAAATACACTTAACCTGATACTGTAGTATATTAGAGCAGCTAAATCTTAAACTAACAAAATGAGAAGGTGATGTTAAGAAGGTGTAGCCAACCAATTGAAAACACTCAATACTTCAGTGCAATCACAAAATACAGCCGACAATGACCTTTTTTAGCTTCTATTCACTCTAAAAGGCTTTTTGTCCCATTAAAAATAAAATATTTGTTCTCAACAACCTTCTGTGACGCAGGACCACCTCTAGAATGGCTGTCAGAGCCAAGAGGCATACAGCGTATTCACTTACATCATCACTGGCGCAAGCTAGTAACACCTGCAATGAATGAAATATTCATCCTTATTTAATTCAAGCAGTTACTGTTCAAGTTGATTTTCTATTCAATTTTAAACAAGACAAAAACCCAAAATACAACGAAACACACACCAAGTGGAGCAGAGGACAATGGGGAATTTGATTTTAACTAGTACTCCATCATCATGTAAAGTAGACTTGCATGAAATATTAGAAATATCCATAAAGAAAAATATTTTAAAAGACTCAAATCTTTAGCTCTGTAAAAATAAATGAAATTTTAATTGAAGGCTTGGAGTATTTTACCAAAAGAAGTTAGCACAATAATTTTAGATATTAGAGATTCATTTTTGAACTTGACAACTTTACCTAAAAAGTTAAGTAGGATATAAATATGCATGTTACATGATCGACTTTGTTGTTTAATTATTCAAATGAAGCTATTTTGCTAGGAATTACGAGATAAATCTGAATCCCTCATATTAGAAATGGGTCAACTAACTGAATGATCTCAAGTAAAGGTGGAAGGATACAGAAGAAAAGGGGAATAAATGCCAAGCATCATCCTCCATGAGTCAGAACAACAGATTTCAACTACAGGAAATACGCAGAAAGTGAGGAATCCCATTCAGACGTGTTTAAACATTCCAGGGAAGAAGCAAACTAGTCACACCACTGACCTGGGTTTTCCCAAGGAGCGTGTAGGCTTTCTGGACTTTGGTGTAGTGCAACACATCAAAGTGCTTACAAGTCTTTGACAGGGCGACATCGAGCTGCTCCTGAAGACAGAAATAGACAGAAGACAAAGAAGAGGAGGAGAGAAAGTCGGGGGAAAAGGAGAAGGATTATCAGCATTAAGATAGGGGAGACTCACATACACACAGATGTACAAATGTAAAACTATCAGGCCAAGGGCAGGGTAACTAGATATGGATATAAGTGAATATCTAAGTGTATGAGATAGAGATAAAAGAGAGGCGTTAAAAGTGAGATGAGGTTTGAAAGACATTAAGAAGTGGTAAGATGAGCGACATCTTTGATGCAATAATCTGAGCTTAGAGAGTAAAGTGCCGACAAAGTCTATGCAATCAAATATCTTGCATCATTCAATGTTTTCTTAAGCCTTGTGTGAAAATGCTACACATGAGGATAACATAAAACCTGCAGTTGATGCACTAAGCCTAATGGACATAGCTGACCTAAATTAGAGGGCTTTGCTGGTGCCGACCACTTCCTGATGAATTAGGGCTGTGTATAAGAAAAAATGGGACCAGTACCCTACTAGGCTATCATAAAATGCCTTATCAATGTATATTTCTTTTTTTTTTTTTTATAGTTTCTATGTTGACGTGAAGTCTTTAAAGACTTTCCCAGCACTACACTACATTTCACATGAGTGTAATTAGCGCAAAATGTCCTTCACTTCTAACATCGACATCAACTCATGAAATTTGACTTTGGAAATGTGGGACTTGGCTTTGTTGATGTGTTTACTTTTAGGATTAAGAAGATTTTGCATGACTAGCTGATAGGTAAACAAGCAACCCCAGCAAATGGCTATATATTTGTGCAAGTATTCAAACAACCCTCCTGTCTACAGACACAACTGTAAGCAATTAATCTACTACAGCACAGCAGTAGTGGTGCTGCCATAATTGCCTCTTCATTATTATTTATCACACACAAGCAGAGATGGCACCGATGCTATTTACAGTGAGTGCACGCTCATACTGTTGACTCTGAGATTGTGTCAATATGTGGCAGACCCAGAATTACAAAGCCAAACAATCAGAATGTCAAAATGAGGCTTAATTTGCCTTTTCTAGATCAAAACATAAAAAAAAAATAGTAAAAAGAAAAATATCAAATATTACTAAATCTGAAGTTTCAACACGATATCAGTTTCAGGTTGAGCAGCAAAATAGGATTTTCACGTACCTCTATTTGCTCAAGAGTGTCTTGTAATTTAGAGTTCAGCTCACTGTGGAGGAAGAGCAGAGGATTCTTTTTAGAGTCAAAAGGCATTTCTGTTACCTAATGTTTAATGACATGAAGTGAAACTGATTTCTGAAAAAGAAAAACAAGTGATACAAAAAATAATGCTCTCCTTTCTGTACAGGAAATATTAACGGAAGGTGGAAAAGTGAAAAGGTGTTATTCCTGTTCACCTCAAAGAAAGAACATTTCTGCCTTAATCTTGGTAGATGCTTTCTCTGACTTCTCTAAATTCTAGACCGGTGCAATTTTGCTCTGGTTTCACTAGATTCTTCTGGTTTGAGGGGGAAAAAAATCATTTGATGTTATCTGATCGCAGAGCAAGGCCACTTGGCACTGTATCACCCTGTGACAGATTGGTGTCCTGACCAGGGTGTAATCCACCTTGTATTATCTGACAGCTGTGATTCTTGCGCTCCAAAATGACACAAAGCCAGTCTAAAGAGTTCTGTGGTCGAATCCAGCAGCATGCCAAACCAGGCTCCATATCTTGCATTCATCAGATAGTGTGATCATCCAAGAAGAAAGAAAAGACAAGCAGTTTAAATCTGGTGCTTTGTTTTCTAGCGTGCTTTTGTCAGCAGTATTTTCCTAATATCCAAGATCTGATGTCGCTTGCCAGAATGAATGCTCATCTTAACCAGCCCATTTGCCTGCTGCTCCATTTTCATCTACAGGAGCCATCCAAATATTTAGCCTGCCTGCTCACTCTCAATCTTTCAATCCAGGCTCCGTTTCCCTGCCAGAACATTCTCTGGTTCTGCAACTCTCCTCACGCCAGAACACTGTTAAGCCTGGCTCTTTTTTCGAAGTGCTGCAACTCCCTTTTCTCTGCCTCACCACATTTATTTCCCAAACCCTGCATTTTTGCAAATAACCAATGAACTTTCCAAAGCGTCTTAGTCACATCTGAATGCACCTCTTGTCTAATTAGCAGTTCAAGACTGTATTGAAGATGTCTTCACCATCCTTAGTTGCTGCTCTGCTTTTGCCTGAATTAGGAAAACGCTTTTGTCTGTAAAAAAGCTCAGAAGTAGCAGCAAACATTGCATTGTTTTGCAGTTCCCGAGACACTAAATGATGTCCCCTGTGACTCTCCCACCCTTTAAAGCCTACATTCATCTGCTGTTACACCATTCCCCTGACTCTGTCCTCGTTTTGCTTGCGGTCTTTACCAGGTCAGTTTGCTCTAAAGTTGCGCCTTGTGAGAAAGGAGCAGCCCGAGGGAGTGTGTGTCCTTAACAGTTTGCTAATGAACCATCTTGGACTCAACTGGAGAAGAAGAAAATGATGAGGAGCCATCAGAGAAGCAGATGATAGACCAAGTCAGAAATGTACATTTCCAGCAAAACTGACTCACTTCTGGATAGGATATAATATTATTCATTCATTTTGAGTTTTTATTAATTTATTTGAACTAGTATCTACTGGACTGATGATACAATTCTAATTATTTTAACAGTGCAGAATTAAATTCAAAGTTTTTGGTGACTTTCTTCAGTCTGCAAGGAATAAAAATGAGATGACCACAGTGATATATGGAGATACACTGCTACCAAAACTAGGTATATATGCCTTTACAGGTTGCATCTTAGGAGCCCACTTTTTGTAGCCATCAATAAGGTTTTGTCACAAATTAGATTAGATATATGTATTTTTTTTTAAGCACTCAAAGACACAGTATCTTGCCAAGATATTATGCAGGGTTCCAGGTTTGGGGCATTTTGTTTTGTGCTTGGTGGGACAAATATATCAAAATATTGATCAACTGCAATTCATTTATATATGTCTGATTAGCATTATTATGTTCAATGTTCATAGCAAAAAATAATATAAAACAAACAAGATATTTGGAATTTGATATCTTTTATTATCACTGACCTTATGGCCTTCTAGAGCCCTGACACCAGTCTTGATTTAACTTTATCAGCAATGCTAAACAGCCAAGAATGAAGATATGTGGCTGAGGTGGAACCCTCTAATGACCATTTAACCATAAATCACTCCATTCTCTCTTTGCATTTGTGTCAGTGTGTTTAATTTGATCTTGCAATATTAGAAGAAAATCCAACAACAACTTTAAGCATTTGCGACCATTAGCGTAATCCTTTATGCTGACAGGAAAAATTCTATGAGTGCCCATTGTGACTATCACTGCTAAACCTGGAGTTGGAACACAATAAAAGGCAACGACAGGAGATGGCAGGCCAAGCTGATACCCTCAGTGGAGACGACGATAGGAAGCCAAGGCAAAGAAAATGGAAAAAGTTAGAAAGCTGGCTTAACTACACAGGGATGAACTGATCAATGTCAAGTCCAGGCTGCTGAGGAAATACATCTGAATGTTCATAGGAAAGGCTCAGGAGAGAGAAAATCAACAGCTTTAGACTCCTGGCAATCACATTGTGGGGATACACCCCAAGAGCTCATGCCAAGAGGATAAACACCCTCTGGTTCGTTGCAGAACATTGAAGTTGGCTCCAAATAATTCCAGTTTATTAGAGCAGCTGGAATGAACTACAAAATGAATGGTATTAAGAAAAAAAACAGGGATACAAAACAGGAGCCAGTCCCATCAGAATGACAGCAATTTAACAGTGACGGAAACTATGATTTTGGAGACAACGGAGCCAAACACGGCCGTTACGAAGGGGTTACAGCCCAACAAAAATATTCATAGAGATTTCAAACCATGTCAATATTGAATTAGTATCCATATTTCCATATTCTTGGATCTTTTTTTAAAACCTTTATATAAATCCTGTATTGATTTGTTTGATTATTTAATTACATATCTTGTCATTGAAAATTGTGTTAAAGAAAAGAATGGCATATTTATCTTTTTAATCATTTACAGTAATGCTACATTTATTTATTAAATTGGAAATTCACTTTTATTTATCTATCAAAATATTTACCAATGTAATTCAATTCAATTCTTATCAAGCTGAATCTCCTGAGTAAACCTTTTTACAGATGATATCCTGATTTACTAAAATTGGCTTCTGTAAAAGAAAAAAAAATGAAACAGCAATTATCTAAAGCTCAACTGTATCACCAGGTAGGTTGACGCATTTTTTAATAAAAGAAGGGTTTTATCTGCAGGTTTCTGGCTGGTAAATTAAGAAAATATGCAGATCAAAAACACTATAGTGTGAGATAAAAACAACCTCTCACCTTATGTAAATAAGTCCATCTCCTGTATTAAGTACAATAATTACACACACAGTCCAAAGTGTATTCTTGCATGCACAGATGCTGCTCCTCCCAAATACTGGCACTCTTCTATGATCAGATAGAATGCATAAATAACATATGAGCAGAAATAGCTAATTAACAATCTGTTGCCGGCAGTGCCTACAAGGATTCAGTAGGGTCACACAGAAATCTGGGTGATTTTTTCCCCGCTTTAAACTATTTTTCCATTAATGCTGGCAATAGGAGCCTGTAGGGCTGTAAGGCTTGTCCCTTTACAGTGATTTGCTGACTTGCTAAACAACCAAAAGCAGCTCAAAGGGTCTGATGGATCTCTTACATTTTTCGGGAGCCCCATTTGGTGCTGCAGTCGTGTTACAGAGCAGGTGGGGAGGAAACTGCTAGGCAAAGGAAGACTTTCAAAGAGAAAAATGTGGCAGAAGGGGACAAATTAAATTATGCAACTACAAGAACAGCAAAGGTTATGCAGGAGTGGAAGGCCAAAAGGCAATTCTTTCACCAAGGTTTTGTTTTAGTGAGAATGGCTGACCAGCAGAACTTCTTAAGGCTAAGTAGTAGGGCATATAGTAATTTCTGGCTTTTAGATTTCAAGGTTAAAGGAGCAAAAGAAAAAGCCTCAATCTAGATTTGTACTTTGCTTTACTCTGATTTTCCGAGCGGTGTCATTTGAACCTTGGTAACACTTGAGGATTCTAAGGTACGATGAGACAAAATATATTCATAGACAAAGGCCTGACAGGGGCATTCTCTCATTTTTTGGTACAGTATTCAGAACAAACAAAGGAATCTGCCAGCAGTCGTAAATATTAAAACATAATTTATGAACAAAATTAAAATTTGTCATGCCTCAACATTTATGTTCATATCTCCTAGCAAATTGATTCAGCCAATGCACGGTGGGTACAAAAAAACAAATCTGTTCTCAAATCTGCCAAGTAATTTATCCATATAGCAAAATAATCCTAATCACTGTGCCCAGGGCCCTCATGCTCTGCTGTAGGGCCTCAAAGCTGTTTGATGAAAAAAAAGCCAAATAAAGGAGGTCTGGCTTATAGTTTGGATTTTTTTTCATTCACAAAGGCAAAAGAAAAAAGTCTGTGCATAGCTATCGTATAAACCCTTTTTTTTTTGTTTTACTTACAATGCTGTTTTTTTTTTGTTTTGTTTTTTTTTGTTTAATTTAAATGTGGCCTGACGTGCAATCAATGCTATAAATAAAATCAATGTTTGCATATGCATTTTAAAAACAGAAATTCAGTAAATTCAACTTGCAAGAGTTATAAGAGGATTTTTTTTTCTGTGTTAGGTCAACAAGAACTGGGCAGAGACAGAAATATGAATACATTATTTTCTGTATGAAATTAGAGTTTAAGTGTAAAAAAACATTAATCAGAGAACAGAAGAAACAATGCATCAAGACAAAATTAGTACCTAGCTTTTATTGTGAGCGGAAAGTCTGTTTGGTCCTCTGAATTATTATGTGCAGTCCATATTTAGAGATATATTTGATAAAGATGGAAAAACAGACGTTTATATAAAATGACCGTTTATCATTCATTCCACCTTTATGTGGTTCCAAAATGTCACACTGAAAAGTACTGTTACTGGCGGTAATCTTTAGACATTTCTATTACCTCCTTTACATTCTTCCTTAGTTTAAGTTTAGTTTTTATCTATAGCTCTGACAGCAAATATGAGAAAATATAGGCAACTTCCCTCAAGCAGGTATCTAACCTATTAAAACGAACGCAGGTTGGTGGTTCAAGAATT